GTGATGGACTCCTCTGATTCTCCGGCGCGTGTGTTGCAGTCTTCTGGTTCTCCGGCGTGCCTTCGCGGGACGGCGTATACTCGTCTTCGTCGTCTAATGCTCCCCTTTTTCGTTTTCCATCCGCCGTCTTGTTCTCGCAGTAATCAACTGTGTACGGGCCACCGTCAGGGCAAAGCCGTCAAAGGTAACGACGAGGACCCATACCTTTCGGCAAATGTTTCAGTCTATTAGATCGTCTCGGTTTGAAGCCGTTAACCATGGCGAGGGCATTTGGAGGTGAAGTGGAGGTTGGAGGTGAAGAAAGAGGTGGAGAGTGTGAGTGGCTCGAGCAGCTTTGGCTGAGTTTATATTATACTGTGTAGCGCGTGACCACAGGCCACAGAGGCCATTGTATTCCAATTTGGATCTTGTGGCCATCGTCGACGCGGGTGACTGGTGTCCTCCCGCATATTGCCTAATCTGCATGGTCTGTGCGAGATGAGTCCTTGTAGTGGTGATATCAGATGCGCCGTCTGAGGCGCGGGAACCGTGCCCCACTGATCGGAGAGACACACTGTCAAGGTCGCATATGGAAGCACACTTTTCATTTGCTGATTCGGAATCGCACAATTAGCCTGCGGAAGGCTCAACGAAAATACACGAAACTCACCTAGGTCATGTTGAACGACCCCACTGGCGCGAAGCATTCCCAGGTGAAATGTCTGTCTGTTCGCCTCAAAACCATGTTCTCTCCGCAAGACGATCAACCGGCTGACAGTGAATGGAACCGCTCAGAGAAGAGTATATCATGATATCGACGACAAAGCTACAGTTATTGACTCATTGAGAGTTCGCAAAAGAAAGCTGGAATTGACACGGCACACCGCCCTTGTCTGCCGAGGGCTACAAGCATTTCCCACACAAAACGATGCATATAGAAGGCTTGTATCTACATCGTGTACAGAATCAAGCCTCATACTCAGACAGATCCAGATGGAATCTGATAGGGAATGACCTCACACTGTCACCGTTTGATGTAGCGACGCACTGTCCACTGAGGATTCATTGCCAAGGTGGTGCGTCATAGTGTATGATGATGGAAGCGGCGATTGCAGCACTTTACGACACTCTCAGTCGACTTGAATGTGCCAGTAGAGGACATTGTGCATCATATGGGAAACTGACTCAGAACACCGGAACAGCAACGCAGTGTCCCGTGATTACAACGACCTAGGTCTCTGCAGGAGTCTTATACGAGCATTTCTGAAATAAAAACCAGACCGCAGAGACAAAATGAACGCACCCGCCATACATGCCGACTGTGCGGTCCTCACACAGGAGTCCTGAAACGTATGCCGGCATGAACGGGACTCACAAGGCTCACAAAAACCTATACGGCTGCATAGAAGTGATGTACGCACCCGAGGAAGCCTAAATGCACTGGTCTCGGGGATCTCCGAGAGTGGCGCTGACTAAGCACCCGCTAAGGGCACCGGTGGCGCGCGCTGTTCGCGCTATACCATCGTCACTACATCGCTGAACTGGCGATACAGTCGACACAAAAATGAATGGCCTTGCTATCCTTATTCCTGACATGTTCTATGCGCCCGCTGCTGAGCATCCCCCCCGCGAAAGTACTCCTGCGCTTTCGGGCGACACTGGCAGCTCCTCTTCACGCGAAAGCTCTCCACCGGCTACACCTGTCTCTGGACTCAGCCGTGCACCATCTATCTCTTTTGATGACAATTCTAAGCATACACCCACTGGCGATGGCACCGACATCAAGATCGTCGAACCAGACGCGGACTCCTCGCCACCAGAAGATATCACGCGTCCGCTGAAACGGAGACGGTTGGCAGACACAAGGGCTGACGAAGTCCGCGCAGGGAGAGTGCTGCCGCCTGATACCTCGAACGGCATGATCAAGGCCGATGACGGCGCGTTCTTTAGTATTGAGCACATACTCATCGGCGACTGCACGAGTGTCGGGGACGTCAAGCCAGATGCGGTGGACCCGTCGCTAGAATACGTCTTCCGTCCGTTGAAACGGAAGCGATGCGCGGACACGAGTACTGATGATGCTTGCGTAAAGAGGGTGCGGAGGTCTGGTATCTCGAGCCGCGCAACCAAGGTTGAGGACAGCGCCTCATTCGATCTTGGACATATGCCCATCCACGACTGCACGGGGATCAGAGTTGTCGAACCAGACGATGTTCACCCAGTCTCCCCCCACATTGACTTACACGCGCCACTTGCAGCCATTGCTCGCCCGCCAAAGCGGAAACGGTGTGCAGACACGTCGATCGATGAAGTCTCTGTCAAGAGAAGGCGGTTGTCTGACAGTCCGAGCGACGCGTCAAAGCTCAAAGGTGGGGTTCCTTTCGGACCTCACCCTAGATGCATGATCACGGGTTGCGCCTCCGCTCAGGTGGAGGCGTGCTATATCCTGCCTCCCGATATGCCTCAGCCGTTGGTGAGTACGGTGATTACTGCTTCGACGTCGCGACTAAGAAGGCAGCTTTGTAGGGCGATCTCCGCACGCCTAATGACATGAGTCCCGCCTATTGTAGCGCGCCCGCAAACATCATATTCCGTGGGTACTTGCTCATATCTAGCCCCTTCTGCCTTCTCTTACAACCCTCATGCAGTTCGACGTGACCTCCGCATACTATGGGAAACGAATCGCCTGTTGATGATACCCCATCCCGACCATCTAGACCACCCCGATACCCGCCCTGTATGTATCGTACGTCCCCTCAGGTGGTCGCTGCACTCACCGTCAAGTAGGCCTACAAATACTACGTCGTTGCAGAAGATGACCACCCTTCAACCTCGTGCATCCCCGAAGATTATACCATTATACCTCCAGTCGCGACGGCTTGTAGCTCGTATTGCTCGCTGGGGTGGCACGACCTGAGTGCGAGTCTGCATCTGATGACAATTCGAGTGGGTCGTGAGTTCATGAAGCGACCGCCCCACTACGAGCATCATCTATTTCAGGACGCTCTCTCGCATATACCCACCATCACGCCCGTCTACCCAGATGTGGTCGAGCCGGTCTTTTCCTATATCAAACGCGACTCGCCAGTCGAAGGCATCTCCCGCCTGCCGAAGCGGAAACGGAGCCCGGACATAGAGACCGATGAAGTCCCTGCCAAGAGAATGCGCACGTCCGGCTCTGCGCGCAACACGTCCAAGATCGAGGACAGTGTTCCTTTCGGACCTCACCCAAGGTGCATGATCACTGGCTGCGTGTCTGCTGAGGTGGAGGCTTGTTATATCTTACCTCCTGACATGCCTCAGCTGTTGGTGAGTGGGCGTGACCAATACTTTGGCTTTGTGGCTAACAAGGTGAAATGGAAGATGGACTACATTACGTTCAACATGCGTACTAACTACAACTTTCTCCGTTGCCATGCACCTGGAAACTTTATTTTCCGTGCGTGTTTCGCAATGCTCTCTCCGTCTTCTGAAGCCTCACGTACCGCATGCAGTTCGACGCGATCTCCGAGAACTTTGGGAGACAAATCGGTTGTTGATGATACCCCATCCTGATCATTTGCAGAAGCTTAAGCATTCCACTGTATGTATTATGGGCCCTCTTCGCCAATCGCCGTGCTCACATTGATGCAGGCCTACAAATATTGCATCATCGCAGAGGACGAGCACCCTCCAGACTCGTACGCGACCATGAATAATATCATCACACCTTCCGTTATGACGGCTCCTTGCTCATATCGGTCGCTCGGATGCTACGAGCTGAATGCCAATCTACATCTGATGATATTCCGAGCAGGCCAGAAATTGAGCAAGCGACCACTGCACTATCAACACGTCTTGCGGGATCTGCTGCCCCACAAGGAAGTCAATCACGCATACAGCATTATCGAATGGCATGGGACATGGACGGCCCCCTTGACTTGCGAACTGGTACCTGACAGGCGGTTGTGGGCAACAGGCGAGCTCTCAGCCTGTCCTAAGAATTATTATCGCCCCCCCAGAACGCAGTATTGTTCTCCCCTGTTGGATGACGACACTGACCGCTTTCGTCGCCAGTTCCGGCCAATCCTCTCAGGGATAAAGAGGAGGTGTTTTGGCGACACCAGTGGGAGCGGCCAGGATTACATCGGAGACGCTGAACGGGAAGTCAGCATTCGTCAGTGGTGTCTGGAATGCAATCAAGCTCGAGATGAGTGGACGATGGGACCGCCTGTGGAACCTGAGGACGCAGAGATACTCGCTTATCGACAAGAGGAAGCTGGCGATGTGCAGCCTGTTGTACAAAAGCCTTGGTCGGTGGAACGCTATTTCTCAAGGTACATTCTGTGCCACATTTGCAGACGAATGTTTAACTGATGTTCCTTGTTCCAACTGCAATGCTATACAGACGCGGTCCCAAGTTTTGACACATAGCCCTGCACCTTATGCTGCCATGGATTTCGCATACTCGTTAGGTCTTAACCATCCAGCATGGTCTGTTGGAAAACAACCCTTATTTGATTGGAGAACCTCGTTGACCCACCGTCACAACTGGAATTGGTGCGATCACGTTTACCCACAGGATTAGATGGACTGATTCTGGCATCTCGGATCCTCCCGGATGAGCCAGATGCGCTTCCTGCCCGTGCGTCGCGATTGCCGGCAAGGAGTGGGAAGTACACTTGTACTGAAGAGCACTGCGTTGCCTTAGTCCCTTCATTCCCAGTACATTCTCCCATGATATCCGTAGCTCTCGAGCCATTGGCTGCATCACAGAGTCTTCTTCTGGCGGCCGCGGACACTATGCGTGGTAGCTCAGTCGAACTGTGTTGCTGCGCTTATATACCCCCGCTTGGACGATCGCGACTAATTGCGGCGCTCCTGGTTGGACTTGCAGTCTGTGCTCACCACTGGCATGAAGACTGCCTTATACGAGGGCAATGCTGTAAGCTGATTTATTGACCGCGGCCTACAATTCGCTGACCCTGTCTCCAAGATTAACACCTCCATCATCTTGGTGTCGTAAATGTAGATCCTCTCTGTGAACTCGAGGTTACATTGATCTACTGGACCGGCAGACCATCTTCGGACACAGAATAGTGATGAATAGTTCTAGATACCATCAGTGAACGATGCGCCCATGTACACAAGTATTTCGGCACCCGTACAGAGACATAAGACTGCCGCAAGGTCAAGGAAAGCCACGCATCCTTGCACAACCAGATGATCGCTTTATAGCCTACCGCTTCCTCACTGCACAGGCTGAACGAGTGCATCGCCGCGCTCTCTCGCTCGGCCTCGCACTTCAAAGAACTCACGTACTTGGTGCCCGAATGGCCCACGAGCAATACAAGCGAAGCGACTGCGCGGTCCATGTGCTAAAATTGCCGCCTCGACCCTACCAGGGAGGATCTGCGCGACTCGCATTGAGAACCAACAATACAAACGCTCAGTATGTACTTCGGCTTGCTTGAGCTCACGTTCTGTAGAGTTTTTCAAACGGTTTATGTTCGAAACGTACATGTACATGAGCTACTGCTACTCGGTTTTCCCTCGGAAATAGTGTGGCACTCGAGCCGCCCTTGCTCGATGATTCCTGATGCATTGTGTTGTGCTCAATCTTCTAAGTCGCTGTCCTTTATGCTCGCGCCGCACATGGAGCCCTTCCTTGGCCGCACAAGCACTCTGGTCCTTCCTGGCGGATAGCTCGGCATCTCCTCTGGCTTTTGTCAACACTTACTCGATCAGTACATTTTCTCTTGCAGATATGTTTGGAGCATGCACATCCTGTTAGCAGCTGTGCTGGTCGTAGTCATGTCGCTTTGTGAAACCACACGGACAGTGCTCGGCACACAAATGTGAGTCTTTGAGCAAAGTGGACCTGCGGTGTCAGATCATACATGATTACCCTACCTCTCCGTCATGAACAGAGGTAGAGCATGAGATATTAGAGTAATTGATGTTTTATCACTATTTGGTCGTCTCATCTGTAGATCTGTAGTCAATCAAGTCTTTACCTGAGGGCCTGTTGAGATTCAGAACATAATGAGAATGGTATGTGCACTGCGATAAGGTCAGGCAAGCTCATTCAGATGAAGAATTGTGCTACCTCAACATTGAGAGGCGCTATTTGACAGCAGTCAATGATTATGCAAGACTACCTAATTGAAGTAAATTTCTGAAAATGATCTGTGACAAATGGACCAGTGATTGTAAATTGATGCCATCGGCCAGGTGAGCTTACCCGTGCCTGGCCCATCATTTGCAGGAAAACTTGAACTAAAGGATACCTCAGTGCATCTGTGATGGAGGAGACAATCGAGAATGTGGAATACCTTCTCACAGGCTTGCCGTGAACATGCCCTGGCTCACAACATGTGGGATGGGACAAGTTTAGACTTTCAATGATGAGGGGGCTTACAATGAGGTTGAGCATGAGCGCTATGGCAAGTGTGCGACTGTGAGGTCAGTCAATGGTTCTCTTGGATGTTCACACATCAATGAGGACACCAGTACCTGGCAGGATGATGTATCAACAAGGCTGGCTATCATAAAGCCATGGTATATTAGGAGCCTACAGCCATCATACCATACCATAGTGAGTACTGCTCCCATTCTAGGCATGAATCCTTACTGCCAGCCTTCAGGCAGTCCCGTGACATTACAATCAACCTACCACCGGCTGGGGGTTAATATAATATATTCAGCTGGTAGGCAACCCGCGTTTACCTCGTCTTTCCAAGTGGAACCGTCTGACAGCCACATTGGTATTTTCCTCAGATGCCATCACACATCATCAGGCCATCACTTTGCATCTCACCACCATTGCCCCCTGCATCCCACCGCCCTGCCCTCTCCTCGCTTGCTGTGCCCCCCTGATTTTTGCCACCCCCTACCCCCTGCTCCCGCCACCACTCGCTATTGCCCTGCTCCATCACTGGCCATTAGTGATGTGCAAAGCCTGGCTCGGCCTGAAAGCCGGGGCTATGGCCTGGCTTGAAGGGGCTCAGGCCTGCCAAAATGCCAGGCTGGGCCCTAGTACATGGCTTAAGCCCAGCCACAGCTCAGCTCAGGCTTAGGGCCGCTCACTGCCCACTCACTGCCCACTGCCTGCTGCCTGCCCACTTTCCACCTGCCACTGCCCACCTGTTACTCTCTGCCTGCCGCTTGCTGCTCGCTTCCCCCTTTCTGCTACTCACTGCTTGCTGCCCGCTAACCACCACCATTATCTCACCAATGCTTGCTGTCTCCTTGACATTCACTGTAGGAGTGATGCTTCAGGTTTTAAGCATAGTCTTTGTATGACATGAAGTAAACAATATATATATATATATATATATATCCATCATAGATCATGAGGCATTACATAGGACTTAGGCATCATCATTACACTCTTCAGTCTCATTGTCAGCTACATCCTCAGGCATACTTATGTTTCTGGAACCAAACCATATCCATTCATCTACATAGTGCCAACTGTGCTCGCAGAACTGCTTCATGCGGGTTTGTATCTCGGCCTGTCAGTGAGCATAGACAAGCAGACCTTTACGAAGAATAGGCATTGCATCAGATTGACAATCAGCCTGCCTTGACCACATAGTGGCCTTCCACTCATGGTAAGCCTTGATGTGGTGCATTTCTTCCTGCAAAAGCTTGCACTTCTCTGACCATCTGTGGGCCCATGCCCACACTTTGCACCATTCAACATGCATGACTAGTATATAAGTTTATTAGCCAATATTTGTGGGTAACAGAGAGCTTGTACCTTCCTTGTCATACTCATTGTCACTGATGTCACAGTTTCCCTAATTTTGTCCTATTTTTCCGCTATTTCTGTGGACATATTGAAGGGTTTGGGGATCTATCCATACTTATCCATCTACATATGGGTACATCTGCATATCTAAGGGGTTATTCGCTTAAATAAGCGACACATGATCTTGTTCTGGACACATCAGGCTGGACTCTGATGCCGGACCTTTTCTAGATAGAAACCAGACTCTGTCTGGACCATGACATCATTCTGACATTATAGGTAGGAGCTAGGCTTAGGCACTAGGCCACAGGCCAGTCATTTCTGAACCCTGGGCCCAAGGCAGGGCCAGACTATGACATCATCAACAGTGTTATATCGCACCATAAGGCACATGATACTTAGTAATCCTTACTCAGCTAGATACCAGGGGTCCATTACCAGTCCCTGGGGGGTTTTTCCTCATGTATATAAAGCAGCATCCTGAGGCACCCTGTCCCACAGTTCCATTCACTTTGTTGTTGTGCTTAACAGCATTACCTCCTCCACACTTAAGTCTATTATCTCCCCCCCTCAATATCAAGGATATAAGGTGGATTTGTAGGTTTTGTGATAGTTGAATAAAACTGCTTTAGGTGCACTGGGTCCTGGCAAGGGCCCCTTGCTACCTGCTTTGTTACAGGGCCTATTGGTCATTGCTATTGTTACGAGTTGGTACAGTGTCTAGCCGTTTTTTAATTTTTCCTTTCCATGAGCTTAAACCCATGACCTCTGTACTACACACTTGAACGGACAAGTCCTTATCTACTGTACAATTAGATTAGATGGGACAGCAGTGCATAACATAGCTCGGGCTCCGCTGACACAGCTGCTCTGACTCATCGACCCCCGGGGCTTCGTCAGCATGCTGTGCATGGACCAGCTGCGCACGGACCAGTGCACACAGCCTGCCCTTATCTTCCCCTGTATATAAGCCTGCCTCTGCTACCCTAGGGACCTCAGTTTTGACCTCTTGTCCCTAGGTCAGTAAGTGTCGCGACTTGAGGTCAAGTGACTGGGGAAAACCTAAAAGCTGGGGGCGTCTGACTGATTCTCACCGAAGCGATGGTGAGCGATGCTCAAACCTAAGGCTAGGGACAAGGTTAATTAGCATAGAAAGGTAAGTAAGTACAGGGGCTTACTGACCTAGGGACAAGAGGTCAAAACTGAGGTCCCTAGGGTAGCAGAGGCAGGCTTATATACAGGGGAAGATAAGGGCAGGCTGTGTGCACTGGTCCGTGCGCAGCTGGTCCATGCACAGCATGCTGACGAAGCCCCGGGGGTCGATGAGTCAGAGCAGCTGTGTCAGCGGAGCCCGGGCTGTGCCGTGCACTGCCGTCCCATCTAATCTAATTGTACAGTAGATAAGGACTTGTCTGTTCGAGCATGTAGTACAGAGGTCGCGGGTTCGAGCCCGCAGAAAGGAAAAATTAAAAATGGCTGGATGCCGTGTCAACTCGTGACATTACCCCCCCCTCAATGGCGCATGACCTCATGCGAGGCCCCCCGGCCCATCTCCCACCCAGAGCAGCAGCATGCTTCAGTCAGCGGTGAAGGCACTGGCTGAAAGTTGAGACCACCAAAGATAGCAGCATTGAGGCGGCATGGGGCATTCGGGTTCCTCCAGTGGAAGTCGGCTATGAGGGCCGGCACATTGGCAACATTGCGCGCTGGTTCCCATGATGTATGTGAATTGTCATAACCCTTCTACTTGATGAGATACTGCAGCTGACGCCAGAAGATCCTCGAATCCTTGATCCGCTCAACCTCATACTCTTTGTCACCCTCAACCTCGATTGTAGGCAGTTCCTCTAGTTCCCAGCCCAAAATGTCACTATGCATGTACTTGCTAAGCAAGGAGACATGGAACACCGGGTGCATAGACACCAATTTTGGCAGAACTAATTCATAGTCCACGAGCCTTTGCTACATGGCATATGGTCTGAGGCACTTGGGACTAAGCTTCTTGCTCGGCTGTTTCAGCTTAAGGTTCTGAGCATCAAGCCAGACCTTGTCCCCCGGCGCGAAGACCGGTGCCTCCTGCACGTGCTTATCATAGTACACCTTCATCCACTTAGCTGATAGCTCTAGCACAGAGCGCATATCATCCCTGATCTCTTTCAGGATCTTGAGCTAATCAGTGGCTGCGGGCATCGTGGACATCGGATTGATCCACACTTGGATTTCAGGATGGTACCCCTGATGAAGGAAGAAGGGGGAGTGCCTGGTTGCGGAGTGAACTCAGTTGTTCAGTGCAAACTCTGCAAGCGGCAACTGCTTCACCCAATCATCCTGCCTGTGGCTTGTGAAAGCATGCAGGTATTGCTCAATCTCCTGATTCCAGCGCTCAGTCTGGCCATCCGTCTGGGGGTGGAACGCTGTGGACAGCGCCGGCTCGATCCCTAGTCCCTTGTACACCGCATGGAGATATTTCGAAGCGAACTGGGATCCTCGGTCTGATATGACCTTGGCCGGGGCCCCATGATGCTTGAACACATCGCGGATGTACAGGTCTGCCGCACCTTCTGCCATCAGGGTCTCATGATAGGCCGAGAAGTGGACCTGCTTGGTAAAGCAGTCGGCGGTGACCAGGATCAAGTCAAATCCATCAGACTTTGGCAATCTGACAATCATATTGGTAGTGATGATCTGCCACGGATGCTCGGGGATCTTGTTCGGCTTCAGTGGACCCTGGGGCTTGGCTGGGAATGTCTTGGTACGGTTGTCACACGTCGCAGGTGCTTACGTACT